GGCTTTTTGGCTTTTTTGACTTTTTTTGTGAGAGAAGAGTAATGATTATGGGTTGGATGTGATGTTTTGTTTTTTGTGGCTAAAATAGCCTATTTTGTCTTTTGTGGCTAAAATAGCCAAAAAAGCCCAGAAAAGCCCTTCCCAAACGGACCCAAGGCATTAAGAAATGATCGTTGTGGAAAATATGAATCGTCGTTTATTGAGATTTGTGCTCAATTTGGAATTATCCACCAAACTACTACGCTACATTCTCCTCAGTCAAATGGTGTTGTTGAGTGAAAAAATAAGACGTTGAAGGAAATGATGAATGCAATGTTGATAAATTCTGGTTGCCACAGAACTTGTAGGGGGAAGCAATTCTCTCAGCGAATTACATTGTTAATAGAATACCTCAAAAGAAAGTAGGCAAGAACTCCGTATGAATTGTGGAAAGGCCGCAAACGTTCTTATAATTTCCTATGAATGTGGAGGTGTCTTGCAAAAGTGGCAGTACCTACACCTAAACAGGTTAGGATAGGTCTGAAAACCGTGGATTGCATATTCATTGGTTATGCACAGAGCAGTAGTGCATATAGGTTTCTTGTGCACAAGTCTGATATTTTAGATATACACAAGAATACCATTATGGAGTCAAGGAATGCATCCTTCTTTGAGGGCGTGTTTCCTTGCCGAACTCGAGGAGATGATCAAAGTTCTGAAAAGAACATTGAAAATGATCCTAGTGATAGTGATCAACATGAAGAAGTAGATGAGCCAAAAAGGAGTAAGAGGGCAAGCATATCTCCGAACTTCTTGACTTATATGTTAGGGAGAGAACCTCGAACTTTTCATGAAGCTATGACTTCACCTGAAAGTCCTCTATGGAAAGAAGCGATTAAAAGTGAAATTGACTCCATCTTATAGAACTATGCCTGGGAGTTGGTTGATCTACCCCCAGGCAGTAAGGCCATGGGGAGTAAGTGGATTTTTAGAAGAAAGATGAAGGCTGATGGGTCAATTGATAAGTATAAAGCTAGGCTAGTTATCAAAGGATACAGGCAACAAAAGGGCCTAGATTACTTTGGTACGTGTTCACCTATATCAAGGATTACATCCATTCGCATGGTGGTTACGATAGCAGCTTTACGTGGCCTGGAGATACACCAGATGGATGTAAAGACAGCTTTCTTAAATGGAGATTTAGATGAGGAAATTTACATAGAGCAACTCGAGGGATTTTCAGCTTCAAGACAAAATAAGAAAGTCTGTAAGTTTGTCAAGTCATTGTATGGTTTACAGCAAGCTCCTAAACAATGGCATGAGAAGTTTGACCACGCTATGTTGTCAAATGGGTTTAGGATTAATGAGTGTGACAAGTGCGTATATGTCAAAGATACTGACAAAGATTACGTCATTTTGTGTCTATACGTTGATGACATACTCATTGTTGCTAGTAATGATAAGATGATTAAAACTACCAAGAGATTGTTAAACTCTAAGTTTGACATGAAAGATATGGACCTTACAAATGTGATTCTGGGTATTAAGATTACCAGGACATTTGATGGTATTGCCCTTTCTTAGTCTCATTATGTTGAAAAAATACTTGTGAAATTTGGTAAATCAGATACGAGTGTGTTTAAGACACCAGAGGACTTTAGTCTACATTTGACCAAGAATAATGGTGAGAGTGTCTCTCAGCTAGAATATTCTCGAGTCATTGGAAGTTAATGTATCTAATGAGCTGTGCAAGGCCGGGTATAGCCTGCTCTATTAGCAAGCTTAATAGACACACGAGTAATCTTAATGCTACTTATCAGAAAGGCATTATGCGGGTGTTGGGTTATTTCTGCTACACCTGGGATTATGGGCTACATTATACCAGATACCTAACGGTACTAGAAAGGCATAGTGATGCTAATTGGATATCTGATATAAAGGACTCCAAATCCACTAGTTGTTATGTATTTACCCTTGGAAGGGCAGCCATGTCTTGAAAATCTTCCAAGCTGACATGTATATCGAGATCAACGATGGAATATGAGTTTATTGCTTTAGATAAAGCAACTGAAGAAGCTAAATAGGTTTGCCAATTTGTTGAAGATATTCCACGTTGGCCAAAACTTGTGTCTGCTATCTATATTCATTGTGATAGTCAATTAGCAATTGGACGGCCACAGAGTAATATGTATAATGAAAAGTCTAGACATATCCGTCGTAGATATAATTCCATACGACAACTACTCTTGAATGGAGCGGTCTCTCTAAATTATGTAAAGTCTAAGGACAACACTGCCGATTCGCTAAGCAAAGGGTTAACTTAAGAGTTAGTAGAAACGTCGTCAAGAGGAATGGAGTAAAGGCTTTTAGTAAATGTTACCGGAACGGAAAACCTAACCTAACTAACTGGAGATCCCAAAATATAGGTTTAAAGGGTCAACCTAACTACGTGTAACGGGTGAGTCACTGAAGAGATAAATCCTCTTGCCCACTCCTATATTTAGTGATACTCTGTGAGGGTGAAAGGTTAAGCTAATATTTTTAATGACCCAAGTGATGTGAATAATCAACTATGGTATAATGAGATACCTTATATAGGTCACTTATGTGAGTGCGAAGTAGGGCCATTTATTTAAGAATTGACAAGGCCGAATCCTTTAAAAACACTCGTTGAATCAGGCTAGTGTTCCAAGGCCATATCGGACACACCAGTGAGAACAAGAACAACGGTTAGAATAACTCTTGTGTGAGGTCTATTGTTTTGGTTTACACAAACAGTATAACAGTTCAAGCCATCACGTTCACTGGTCAGCAGCCAGTAAATCAGATAGGCTTTCACTACGAAAGATTCAAGACCAACATCTACCTTTTCTGATACAAGGTTAGTCTGTGTGCTCTCTTTCCGAGTCTTTGTTGTTAAACGTTACCCGTTATTCTTATTCGGTCAATTTTTATTCATGTAACGGATTGTTGCAAAAAATGATTTTTTGGTTTGAGAATTGAATGAAAATTGTCTCATAATGTTGGCCTCATGAATGAAAATTGTCTTAGACCATGAGGGACGCATGGCCTTAATAGTGTCTTAGACCATGAGATACACAAAGCCTAACCATGAGGGACACATGGTTTTGGAAGCCATGAGGTACACATGGCCTTGCCATTTGGCTATATAAGGGCATGCTCAACATTGTGAATATCATCACAAAAATAAGCTAAGTTCTCTCCTCCTCTTTTCCCCATTGTGTATAAAAGGAGCCAATCCTCTTTGGTTGGAATACAAAAAATTTTGCTCTCATATTATAGTCAGTCTACTCCTATCATATATTCTTCATGTGTGAGAGAGTGCTGGCATTGTCAGTTTGCTGGAGCTAAGCAAAAGATGCTTCTGCGTTAGCGAGTTCTAAACCGTCGTATCTTGGGAGACAAACGCCGACATACCTCCAGCACTCATGATGAGGCGGTGAATCTGTTTTAAGGAGACTATGGTATCACACAGGCTTCGATTTTCTTTCTTTTTTCATTTCAGTATTTTAATTTGTTATATGTATTTCTATTCATCAAGATGTAATTTTCCATGAATTCTTATTCTGCGATTTTTCCAATTTAAATTACCATAAATCTATTTCTTTTATTTAAGTCACACAATTTGTACAACAGTACCAACGGCATAACAACCCTACCAATAACACCTCTCTCTCTTGACAACCGAACATCCATCTCCACTCTCACACACAACTGCACATATTCAGACACCTCATGGCCATCACAGTAACCCACAACCACCACTCGATTCAAAACCACCTTTTGCGGTGGCAGCTGGTAATTCCCTTCTCTATCTCTCTCATCTACACGCAAAATCCACCATTAGTTACACGACCCCTCCATGGGGGTTTTAAGACAACTGGCTAGGCACCTTTCAATTCCTCCATCACTACCGTGGCAGCCATTCCTCACTCTCTATTTACCAACAGCCACGGCAACCTAAATATCCACCCAAACACCATCACCCACCCCCTTCTTCCTCTCCTGCTATACAGCCCAGCACACATCCACACTAGTATTTACTCTAACTTACCCTCTCATCAAAAGATTTCTCTTTGTTGGGATGTCTAATTTTAGTTTTAGAGAGTGAAAGAGATAAAACCATGAGCGCTCAAATTTTAGTGAGAGAAAGTTAGAGGTTGGGGGTACTTGCATGGAAACGAAAAAAGGAAAAAAAAAAAAAAAAGAAAAAAAAAAGGGACAATATAGGCTGTTTATAAATAAATAAAATAAAATAAAATATATTGTTAACGGAGTTGGATTTTGCAATTTAGTGTACATTTTTCAATCGTAGTGCCCAAATAAGGGGGTTGTGTGTACATTTTTGAATCATAGGGAGTGTTCTATGTTTTCAAGTTAAACCGCAGCGGCAAAATGTAATTTACTGTAAAAATAAATAAATAAACTACCAAGAATCACCACCCATACCATCACTTATTAGCATCTTTTTTCTATTTTGTATAGATATAACAAAAATTTTCTCTACATTTCAAGGATAATTAGAGCGTGTAATTGTCTCTATTCTTTATCTTTTGGCACAAGGCATAATAGTACAACCTAGGACATGCTGAATAAAAAAATTAAATAACAACTTGCCAATCAATAACCAATTAATCCTTTTACCTGTGAAATAAACACAGGCAGGATTTATGCATCTATAGTTAAACATTACACGACAAATCTCCTTGAGATTTTGAATGCTACAAAAGAAAAACCTACAAAATACCATAACATGTTTTGTTTTTAGTTAACTATTGGATAAAACCACATGGTTTACAGCAAAGCGAGGAAAAATAGCATTTCCTCAAGCGTGTTAAGAACTATACCCCAAACACTTACCTGCAACTTCAAACAGTATTAAAAGAGAATCAAAAGCACACAACTATTTTCCAAACCCTATTTGGTGCACAAATAAGATAGTGAAATGTGTAAATATTTCTTTCCAAACTAATAAACAGAGGAAAGACAGTAAATCTTACAAGTAGATCAAAACTTCCAAGACCACGTGCTGTGTCAACATATAAATGTCTCCCTAATATGTTGACTTGAACTCTAATATATAAACTAGTCATAGTCATTGCCCAAAGGGAAACCACCATTCTTGTGAAACCTGCGCAAAAAAAATAATAATATTAACAAACAAGAAATGCCCATTATAATAGCTTTACTGCTATAAGATTATATAAAATTACAAGAAAGAATAAATAAAAATTTGTAAGCTACACACCATACATATAAGAAAAGTGAAAGGTCAACAATATCGTACTTAGAATTTTGAGTCTCTCCCATAGCTCAAGTTTCTCAGAAGATGTCAGAGTGTTGGGCTGACCCTTCCCTCTTATTAGCCTCTCTGTCAAGTGCAAAAGGTCTAGCTCTTCTGCCACCCTACTACTCAAGTCGAGCATTGAATGAGGCAATGTTGTTGTATCCGATATTCGTTGAATGTTCTCAAAATGCGCTTGCATTCTATTAATATTAGTCAAAAAACACAAAATTCAGAACCTGCATACATTTGTTTCTCAAACAATTTACAATTAACCAATAAAAGAAATGATAATTGGATTTCAGTTCTTAACTGGGCCTTAATGAGCTCATCATTTTCGCGCTCCCCCGCAAGTTCTCTCTCCAGATCGGAGAGCCTGCGTCTGTGAGCATCATAAAGCTTGTACAGAAGATACCCACTTCCTAAAGCCCCAAGTGTAAGGTAAACCTTCCTCCTATGCCTTCTCCAAAACTCCCTATCACAACAACATAAAGGGATAAAATTAAGCAAACATTTATTTCTCACAAAACCCAACTACGGAATTTATAGATACACAACACCCAGATCAAGATACAACCAACTCAATCACAAAAATAATTAATTTCAAGCATAACCCAATGATATAATACCAAAATAAAAAGAACCCAGATAAGGAAACAAGCAATTGAGGCACAAAAACAGTTGGATTTCACAATACCCAATTCATGTGCATACATGGAAATGATGATATAGGGCTTCTCCGAGCTCCAAATTTCCCATATTAAACAAACTACAACATAATGTTATGCAGAAAACACAAATACACAGGTGATGATAACTTCGATCCGAAGTAAAAAGAGAGGGAGTGAACCAACCACATTCAATCTCCGTTTGTATTTCGGTATATACAACTAAGTTTACTTTCCCACCGACCTCAACAACTGCCGGACTGTCCCCCCTTCTCTCTCTCTCTCTCTGTGGAAAACGCACTTTCTCTCTCTAGAGCCGAGGATTAGGCCTTGAGAGGGGTTTAAAAGGACGAACGTCACGAAGTTAGGAGGCAAATTACATACACCTCCCTTGTATTTTGGTTAAATTATAGATATTCCTAGGTTTTAGAAATGGAAAATGCTAGAGGTCCTAAATTTTCTATCAAATAAATGACCAAATGTCTCACATGGGTGTGGGGCCCACAAAATTGCGGACTCCACACCCATGTGAGACATTTGGTTATTTGTTTGGTAGAAAATTTGGTGTCCCTAGCATTACCCGAAATGGAAATTACATCTCGTCTCTTAAGGTTTGTATTTTTATAATAATTTATCCCCTGAGATTTAAATTTCATGACAAATTACTCCCTAATTTGTTATGCAAATATAACATTCAAGAGAAAATTTGTAATTTCTCAAATCTCATGAAGTATTTGTAATTTAATCAAATCTCGAGGGGTATATGTAATTTGCCCCGAAGTTAGGCCACCGCAAAACTTTTGGAGCAAACTCAGGCTCCATTTGGCAGGATTTTTTTATTTATTTATTTTTTTTATTTATTTTTTTTCTATTTTAGAAGTTGTTCAGGATAAACTAAATAAATGTATTTTTTGACTTTTTATGAAATATAGGTTGGGCATGGATTGAATTTGAAGTGATGTGGTAGAGAAATGATGTGACTTAAATAAGATGATGTAACTTAAATAGGATAGTGACTTTTGACTTTTTTTATTATACCAAACCAAGCCTTAGTCACAAAAGATAAAATAGGTTATTTTAGTCACAACAAACAAAATATCGCATCTAACTCATAATCATTACACTCTTATCTCACAAAAAAAATTTAAAAAGTCAAAAAAATTCTTTCAAAATCAAGTTTTTTAGCTCCGGCTAAAATAGTCAAAAAAGTCAAAAAATCAACTCACTGCATAAACGGAGGCTCAAATTGGCAAAATCTAGGCTCCTTGTCTTGGAAAATATATATATATATATAAGGTAAATTAGCATTGACCTCCTTGAAATTTCATGAAATTATTTGGGTGTGTTTGGTTTGTTTTTGAAAGAGTAATTTTCAATAAAAAAAAAAATTAGAGAGAGAGTTTAGAAATTTTTTTGATTTGTTTGGTTGTATATTTTTAAAGTAGTTTTGGAGTTTGGGATGATTTGATATTTTGTTGTAATTGAGTAGATGTGTGTGAGAGAAAAAAACGACTGAAAATGAGAGATGAGAGAAAAAAAGTGATTGATTGATGTGTAGGAGAGATAAAGTGATTTTAGAAATTTTTTGAAAAAAACCACAAACCAAACAAAATTTTGGATTTTTTTTTTGAAAAACAACACTCTCAAAAACAAACCAAACAAATCCAAAGTACTCCTCCAATATTTTGGCCTATTTTGAGAAGTGGGTTAAAAGCTACTTCTCAGCTTTTAACCCATTTCTTTATTTCACAAAAAAGTCAAAAATATAAAAAAATAGCTTTTAACCATCTTTCCAAAATAATCCTTTGAAATACCATCCATTTTTGTTGAATAATGTTATATGCATCAATTAGTGTAATCTAATTGATGATGTGACATAATTTAAAATGTTTTAGTATTTATAATTATATTTATAATTTGTATAACGAGTGAGGTCGATAATAATATCATAACCAGTGTTAGTATATTAGTTAGTATACTAATTGGTACATATAGCACCACCGATTTTTATTAAAAGTTTATTTGACTTTCCCTAAATAAGTGTATTTATTTAGATAAGTGCACTTATTTATATCATATTGACTCTCTAATTTTTTTATAAAAATTCAAAAAAAATATTGTTATCCCAGGTAGGCAACCCAAGAGGGGAGGTGAATTGGGTTATTAAAAATTTTACAATATTAAAATTAACACAATATTCAGAATTTTAACAAATAAAAAAATAAAATAATAATTATCAATATAAAAGTAAGAGAGATAGGGAGAGAAAATCAAAAACTGAGATTTATAGTGGTTCGGCACGTCAGGCCTACGTCCACTCCCCAAAGAACCTCCTTGAGAATTTTTTTACTATCAATTGAATAAATACACCACCAAGCTTATAAATTCAGTACATGACTTACTCTTATCTATTCAGTTTCACTCAACAATAAATGCCTTACCCTTTCAAAATCTCTCAAAAAAATAATGAATAAAAATAAGTGGTACTTAAACCCTATTTTACAATAATTCTTTCACAAAGAGTAGATAGAAAGTGTAAGAACAAATGCTACAATTAGATCTGAAAGTGAAAGAGCATAATACAATATACTCAGAATTTTGGAGCACACAGAAATTTTTCTCTTCAATTTCTTGATTTTTTTTCATACACAACACTTCTATTTATACTCAAAAAATATACCCGTTGGAGAAGACAAACGCTCCTCAAGATGTTAGCTGAATGAATCAATTTGGAAGAGAATCATGTGGAAGAAACTTTGCACTCTTGCAAATTTGAACATCTTTACGTATTAGCCAAAATTGTACAATAAAGCAAAAAGTTAATGATGACTTTTCACATGCTATGATAATGTTTCCACTAATAATGTTTCTAGGCCCGGTCCTGAGATTTTTGGGGCCCAAAGCCAATAATCGGCTACTAAATTGCTGAGGCCCTTCACATTTTTTTTTATTGAATGAAAAAAAAAATTAAGGTAAATGACAAAAGATTTGTATTAAAATCACAAAAAATACTTAGCATTACATTGTAACAACTAATAAGTATCACTTGATCCTCGCTTTTCTTGCATTTTTAGAAGTAAATAAATCAATCATACTTGCATAATTTAGTTTTTTTGCAAAATCATTTTCAATGGATAACAATGCTAATCCATTCAATCTTTCTTGTGATATGGTTGATCGAAGGTAATTTTTGATGATTTTTAACTTTGAAAAGCTTCTTTCCCCCGATGCAACTGTAACTGGAATAGTCAAAAGTATCCTATAAGCAACCCATGAATTTGGGAAATAATTTCCCATCAACTGCAGATGATTGAGCACTTCAATTGGTTTATTGACTTCTTTTGGCAATCTCTCTTTCAAGACTTTTAGCTCCATCAATAAATCTCTTCCATCAATATCGAAAATCTCACCATGTTTTAAAATTCTTCAAGGTTCACACACCCCGCCTTCAATGATTCATCATTGCACTTTTTCAAGTCAAACAAAAAGCCAAAATTTGCCTCATATACTTTGAATTGTTCGAACCTATTTTTGAGTGAACAAAGGGCTTGATCAACAAAATAAAGGAAGTAACCAACTCTAAATGATTCTTCAGCCTACTGGGTCACCTCTCCGCTAACATTCTCATCAAATTGTTTATTTCTAGAAATGATGCGCTTTTCAACAAATGTAGGTTCAATTCCTAATTCACTTACCATTTCTTTAGCTTCAACCACAGCCTCCGTGATACCAACTTCTCTATACATTGCAACATACTTAACAAGCCCATCTAGCTGCTTTACAGCAACTGCTATATCCATATCTTCACTTTGAAGAAGCTTGCTAATAGAGTTCATATGAAACAACAAATTGTACCAAATTACAATACTAAACAAGAACTCAAAAGTCTCAAGTTCGCGAGTTACCAGGGATTTAGCTTCACTTTTGCAATCGAATCTGTGGTAAGATTGTTGTACAAGTCAACTAAAGCATCTCTTATTTTTTAAGCTTGGTATCATAGTGGTTTAACACTTTCAATGCGACTTTCCCAATGCGTTTGCGACAACGACTTAACCGTGAGGCCTTCCTTTAGATTATCTTTTAAAATTGCCCAACGTTGAACGGAAGATGAAAACAATACATATATGTGTTGTACCACACCAAAAAAAGTTTTTGCTTTAGAGCAAGAGTTGGCCATATCACAAAGCACAAGGTTAAGACTATGACAACCACACGACGTATAGAATGCTCTAGGATTTACTTGAAGTATTCTTGTTTGAACACCTTTGTTTTTGCTTTTCATGTTAGAGCCATTGTCATATCCTTGCCCTCTTAAGTCACCAATATCAAGTTTAAGGTTAACTAATGCTTCTTGAAGTTTATCAAAAAGTCTCATCCCTAATGTATCATCCACATTCAAGAATTTCAAAAAAAACTCTTTCACTTTAATTGGACTTGTTGAAACATCCACGCATTGTACAACGAGAGACATTTGTTCTTGATGGCTTACATCCGGTGTACAATCAAGTATGACCGAAAAGTATTTTGCTAGTTTGATTATCGACAAAATTGCACTTTTGACTTCCTTGGCCAACATTTGTATCACCTCATTTGAATTTTGTGACACAGATAATGGTAATGAATCTCACCCTTTTCTATCTGCCGCAAGTGTTGTTCCATCGTTGGATCAAACTCGCCAATCATTTCAATTATGCTTAAAAAAAGTCCATTGCTCTCTTCATAAATCTTCTCATGGCTTCCACGAAAAGGCAAATTATTCTTGGCAAGTGTTTTCACAACTGCAATTATCATCAATAAAACCCGTCTCAAGTGCTCTTTTTCTTTGTTAACTTGTTCTTATATACTTTTATCTATTGTTTTATGCTTTCCCAATCTTTCTTCCAACTCAACCCATTTGTTCATGCAAGTAATGTGCTCGTTACCACTTTCATAGACTTTAAGTCTCTCACCAATATTTCTCCAGTCTTTAAATCCTTCAGTAGCCAATTCAGTCTTATTTCCCTCTTGCTTAAACAACTTACAACAAAAGCAAAATACTCTATACAAAAGTTTCGAGTATATCAGCCATGTCCTATCAAATTTTTCTCCATTTGGTAAATGTCGAATGTAATGAACAAGTGAGGAATGCCTATGCCCAGAAGAATCATCCTTAGGGAAGTTGAACTCACAATTTCTTCTCACAGGACCTCTTTCGACTAAAAAATCTCGTAAATTCTGGTCAATTATTTTCCAAGTCCCTGGATCATCTATATTTGAATGCTCACATTCCGTATTCATCTCATCATCTTGATTGGCTTCTGCACTCCCAAATTCCCCATTTCCTTCTTCTTTCACCAAATTTTCATTCTCGTTATTCACCAAAGTTTCAAATTCTTCACTATTCAAGTCTTAAACTGATTGTTCTGTTTGTTTGTCACTCATAAATAATTTATCAATAGATTCTCTTTGACACTCGACTAATTTTTCAACACTCGACTAATTTTTCAACACTTTGCTTCTTTTTCCTTTTTACGAATCCAGATGGTTAATTTTTTTAAGAGTCATGATGAGCTGAGATCAAAATATTTTTTTAGATCAAATCAAAACAAGAGCACCACCACTTAACAAAACACAAAACTTTTAAATTATGTGATGTGAACTATAAAACTTAAACGAATTCTTCTTGATGATGTAAATACCAATATTATAATAGCAATTAATTGGGCAAAAGACAAGACAAATATTTAATTAATTGAATAGAAAAAAAAAATATTTACCTGTGCTTACTGTGTTGAGATCAAAATATTTTTTTAAATCAAAATTCAAAACAAAAGCACCATCACTTAACAAAACACAAAACTTTTAAATTATGTGATGTGAACTATTAAACTTAAATAAATTTTTCTTGATGATGTAAATACCAATATTATAATAGCAATTAATTGTGCAAAAGACAAGATAAATATTTAATTAATTGAATAGGAAAAAAAATATTTACCCATGCTTGTTGTGCTGAGATCAAAATATTTTTTTTAAATCAAAATTCAAAACAAGAGCACCACCACTTAACAAAACACAAAACTTTTAAATTATGTGATGTAAACTATTAAACTTAAATAAATTTTCCTTGATGATGTAAATACCAATATTATAATAGTAATTAATTGTGCAAAAAGACAAGATAAATATTTAATTAATTAAATAGAAAAAAAAAATTTACCTATGCTTGTTGCTACTTCGTCTGGGCTGCTGGTGTGTGCTTCGTCCTTGCTAGTGTGTGCTATCAAACAAATGTAGGGAAGGTTGGATTAAGAGATGATAGGGTTAGGAATTAGAAAAATGGGCCTTTCAGACTGTTGGGTTGGGCCTTAAACTGCTGGCCTTTTAATGGGTCAAAAAAATTAAGTTAGTTTGGGCATTTTTAAAAAAAAAAATTTGGCTTAAAACACACCTAACATATTATACTAACTTATAATAGAAGGGGGCCCCTATTTTGGGCCTATTTTGAGAGGCCCTAAGCCATGGCCAGGCCTGAATGTTTCCACATGCTAATATATATGATACAATTAATGTTTGTGTAAAAAGTCTAATTGCTCCCGTGATGTATGCTATTTGTATTAAATGCATTATATATATATATATATATATGTAGGGATTTTAAACTAAATATATCCTATCACTCCATATAAATTTTGTCAAAAGAAGATAACCCATCAATATCAAATTTGTCAAATTAATACAATTAATCAATATTAATTTCGTCAAAAGGTGAATAGTGACCAGCCAAACTTTTCAAAATCGTGAATAGTAATATTTTCAAAATATTTTTATTTAAATAATATTTATAACAAATATATCATACAAAGCATAGTTTTAACATATTTAATTTTGTGTCAAATAATATAGAACATGTGCACTAAAAAATCCAAATATGTGTATTAAAATATCCAAATTTTCAAATAATATTTTAGACATCATCAAAATTAAGCAACATGATTAACAATCTCCCCATTTTTTATGATGGCAATACAAGTATGTTTTTGATGCAAAATTAAAATCAACAAAATATTTGATAACTCTGCAAGATATAATTAAATCACATGCATGCACAAAATATTCTCCCCCTTTGATATCATCAAAATAAAATATCTGAGATGCCAAAATATAATAATGATCCTTAGGTCTTGTCGAGCGCACAAAATGTTGACAAACAAAAGATTTGAACAGATATGCATCGAGTATTGGATCGATGGAGTGTATAAAAAGTGACAAGGATGATAGGCAAAGAAACGAAATTATCAAGTGTTAGAGAAAAATTTGTTTTAGCTTCTTGTGTAATCATGTCATTCATTACCTTAGCCATCAATGGTTCGGACCTGCATGAGGTGCCTGTAATGCAGGCAAATGAGAGGTTACCAGTGGTACAGGCACATGTTATTCCTGTAAATGAGAGTCCTAGTGTTATTGGTAATCGAAATGATATCGATGCTATTAATTACACTATGGCTCTTAGTACACAGGCAATGACTGTACTTTCCAATATGGCGCAACGATTATAAATAAGAGTACAAGAAAATCAGCAATGGAGAGATGATGCATGTTTGTTAAAACAACAACTGGTTAATATATGTAAGGAGTAGAAAGAGCTAAAAAGGAAAAATGCACAGTTGGAGAATGGTTATAATGCCAAGACTCACAAAAGTTGAAAATAGAAAGAGGCATGTAAAAGAGGCTCATGAAAAATTGTTGAGAGAAGTGAAACGGAAAAAAAAATCTGTGAAGCCTTTTGAAAACTTGCACATAATCGAGTAATATTTTCTCATTCTAAAATAAAATTGTAAGCATTTCCCCTCCCCTTTTTTAAAAAAAAAATAAAATTCTATATTTGCCAAAAAAAATTGGTGGTGCTGATAAGAAATAGTGCAGATAAAGAATATATATATATATACTCCCCCTAAAATTATGCACAGAATATACACATACTTTTTTTTTTATAATAATTGTTAATCTCAAAATATATGAGTCTCCCCCTAAATTAATACACTAAAAATTACATAAATTTGAAGAAACAAATTACCAATCTATAATACCAAGGGTCATTAAGATCCGGCCATAAACAAGTACACCAAGTGCACTAGCATAAAATGAGAAAATAAAAATAAAAACAATTTCTTTAGACAAGATAAAAGCAACCATTATTAAATCCAAGAGAGTTTGGAGCACATACAACAAGTAAAAAAATATAACACAGTGGAAAAAGAATTTTAACATGTTGATTGGTGATGACCTTGATGATTGGAAGAAATGGAGAAGATCTTGTAGATCGATGACGAATTTTTGTAGATCGATAATGGATCTTGATGGATTAGTCACAGATCTTGATGGATCGGTGATGGAACTTGATGAATCGGTAAAGATGGTGATGCAGATTTTAAGTAGAGAAGTGATAGAGCTTGGTAGATTTGTGAGGGATTTGGGTGGATGATGGTAGTGATGAAAGTGATGGATGATTTTGTGGATGGTGGTAAAAAAATATAACACAGTACAAAAAAAATTTTAACATGTTGATTGGTGATGACCTTGATGATTGGAAGAAATGGAGAAGATCTTGTAGATCGATGACGAATTTTTGTAGATCGATAATGGATCTTGATGGATTAGTCACAGATCTTGATGGATCGGTGATGGAACTTGATGAATCGGTAAAGATGGTAATGCAGATTTTAGGTAGAGAAGTGATAAAGCTTGGTAGATTTGTGAGGGATTTGGGTGGATGATGGTAATGATGAAAGTGATGGATGATTTTGTGGATAGTGGAGCTGGTTGCAGACAATGGTGAGGATGGAGATGGTGCCGACTGAGGATGAGAGGAAGAAGGGGAAAGCAAGAAAGCAAAAGAAAGGAAAAAAAAAAAGAGAGAGTAAGGGAGAGAGCGGGTGAGAGAGAGAGAATTTATATATATATATATATATGTATATAATTTTAGTATTATTATTGTTATTATTTTTTATAATAATAATTGTTATTACTATATTTATTTTATTTAATTATCTATTATCAAATTTTATTTATTTAAAAAAAATTTAATATAAACATTATATTGGAGTATTCATCATACCAAGTTCAGTTATAATATAACAAAATTGTTCTTCATTTAGAGGCTTGATAAATATGTCAGCTAATTGACAATTTGTAGGCACAAATTTGAGTTCAAAGTCACCTTTGAGTACATGATCTCTTAGAAAATGATGCCTTATTTCAATGTGTTTAGTGCATGAGTGCTGAATAGGATTTTTTGAAAGGCTAATGGCACTTGTGTTGTCACATTTTATAGGAATATGATCATAGTGAAGTCCAAAATCTTAAAGTTGTTGTTTCATCCAAAGTAATTGTGCATAACACCCAGCGGTGGCAATGTATTCTGCTTTAGCAGTTGACAGAGCTACTGAGTTTTGTTTTTTGCAAAACCAAGAAGTGAGTGAGTGTCCAAGAAAATGACAAGTGTCACTAGTATTTTTTCGGTCAAGTCTACATCACGCAAAGTTGGCATATGAGTAACCAAAAACTTCAAAGATGGTTCCCTTAGGATACCATAATCCCAAATTTGGAGTGCCAACAAGATATCTGAAAATACGTTTGACTGCGGTGATGTGTGACTCTTTCGGTGCGGATTGAAAACGTACGCATATACAAACACTAAACATTATATCGGGTCTATTTGTAGTAAGATAGAGTAGAGAATCAATCATACCTCAATATTTCTTTTCATCTACAGATTTACCTTGCTCATCTTTGTCGATTTTATTGATGTGCTCATTGGAGTTGTTGCAGGCTTTGATGATTCAATTTCGAACCTTTTAAGTAGATCATTGATATATTTCGTTTGATTTAAATGAATCCCATCACTAGTTTGTTTAATTTGTAGACCAAGAAAGTAATTTAATTCTCCCATCATACTCATTTCAAATTCACCCTGCATATCTTTAGCAAACTCTTTGCACAAACTTTCATTAGTAGCTCCAAAAATGATATCATTAACATAAATTTCAACAATTAGCATATCTTCCTTTTTGATTTTTATAAAAAGTGTTGCATCAATTTTTCTTCTACAAAAATGTTTGTCAAGTAGAAAATTACTCAATCTTTCATACTAAGCTCTAGGAGCTTGTTTTAAGCCATATAAGGCTTTTGAAAGTTTGAAAACATGATCCGGGTATTTATGATTTTCGAAACGAGAGGTTGTTCAATATAAACTTCCTCCAAAATGTACCCATTTAAAAAAGCACTTTTAACATCCA